CGCGTGATACAACAATAGAGGGTGTTTTTGTTTAAATGTTCACCAGGGCGAATTTAGCCACATGCTACGGAATATGCAGTATCGTTGCCTAGACAGACGACTGATCGATAAACACATTGAATGGAATGATTCACTGCTAAATAGACTTTGATACAATGCAGGATTGTATGTAAACAATCAATGAGAGCGCCCACATTTTGGTGCGATAGAGTCGCATGAATTTAAAGCATGCGCACGGAGCACTTTTATTGCTTGTTTGGGTCAAGTGCGACTACTAGCTGATGCATATGATTATGCGAGATGTTTATCAAGCAGCATATCAGGGCGCTATTGTGCATACACTTGTCGCTCTACAGTTACATGTGTGTATGGGCATGGTAATCGTCCCTTGTGAACAAATTCTTTACACGGGATGGGCACAATACAGGGAGAAGACCCCATGGTCGTGGAGTGTGGTGGTAATCAGACCCAGATAATTGGGTGGCGTGGTAAACAACTCAACCAACGTGGCGATGGGATTAGTGATAACTAAACTAATGTAATATTGTAATACGTCGATCAATTTATAGTCTACCTTAGAGAAAGAAATGAGCGACTCCCTGTCGAGTAAAGGGTGGTCAAATTGAAACGATGCGAGCGTATGAAAATCTTGACCAGGAGATAAGCCCACACATCGTATTTTCTACAGTATGCACCATGTTGAGATGCAGCGAAATCGTCCTGGACATAAATCGTGCAGTATTGCAATATGGTCTTTTCTTTTTAAATTAATCTCGGGAAAGGCTTGCTTCAGTTTTCGAACAGCTTTTCTCCAGCCGCCATTCATTACCAACACTTTTGAGACCACATAATGCGTTCCCCATTATTTCGTCTATGATGAAATTGAACAGGAACGGCGAAAGAGGACACCCTTGATGAACACAGCTGCTAGTGACGAACGACCTACTCAGCTCTTCATAGACTCTTACGCTACCAGAAGTATATAAGTAGAGTGACCTCAGTATGTTCACATAGTTCTGCAGCATTTCTTTGCAAAGGAGCAAACCCGTAAGGGATTCGTGGTCAACTGAGCTGAAGGCGCCTTTTAGGTCAAGGAACACGAAAACCGTTGGTCGACGATGTGCATGACATAGCTCGAGGACTGGACTCAGAGTGAAGATTTGATCGATACAACCGCGACCTGGTCGAAATCCCGCTTGTTGTTCGCGGATGTTTGTTTCCCTAAACGGTATCAGAGGTCGAAGTATGACGGAGGCTGATACCTTGATGACGATCCCAAACCAAACAAAAAGAGACAGAAGAACCACACCACCTTTCTGGTTGCGACAGTGGTCACTGGCTTGATTGGACATCGCGATTTATTGAGTGCCCATTCAAAGGTACGATCCGATGTACCGGATACAGATCCCAAAGGTGGTGGCGCAGTGGTTTAGTCGCTGTCACCGGAGAGCTTTGGGCCCTATGGTCCGAGGTTCGAGCCGGGCCACCGCAACCCAACTTTAGTGGTAGGCAGCTTTGCTATCATCCGGTTTAATGCTACGTCTAACCTAGCGGGGCCTTATGTGGTTCGCAACTCCAAGTCCCGGGGCTTAGATTACCGGTTTCCACGACGGAACACCAGATCTTCGTGACTGAGGTTCTCTCTGTCTGCTGTTCACCACACAACCCTGTGTAAAAAATTCCAGATGCCTCGTGAGTCAGGATTTGGCTAGCCGAAGGCTCTGATTATGAATCCCAAGAAAATCTACCAGCTCTGACCTGCGCAATATAGCAGTATCCAACACGAAAAAGTCAAAATGATTTGTGGGTCATAATGATTGTTGTGGTGTGAATTGTTTGACATAAACTCTGGTCAAAGTCGCATCCAAAATATAATAGAATATTTTGCCTGCTTTGGATATTCCATGATGAGAATATCAGCATAATTTGAGTGACCCTTTTGATGCAAACATGCTGTTGTAGGTGTCCTGATTTACGATGGTTAGCAACTTAAGTCACAATTTAACACATCTTTTCATCTCCATTGGGTCTGCAGCGTAATCAGAGTACAACTTCCCAAGTATTGCAGCTAATGAGAACAAAAAGTCAACACAACAGTTGAGTAGACAAAGTAGGCATGCAACCAACCATAGAGCAAGGAAAATGGTGGAAGGCAGGAGTACGTCAATCCCCCTTGGATTGACTCGGGCATCCAAAAACAGTTACACCTTCCAGTAAAAAATATGCAGTTTAGTTTGCTGTTTCATTTGCAGCAAGATGCTGCATTAGATGGAACTACCTTGGGTTCTCCAAAATGAATTAAATAACCCAGAAGTAAAACGCGGATTACCGAAGGAAAAGACGAAGTGGCCATGCGATCAATCTCCGGTTCCAAGCAGATACTCTCCGGTGAGATAACAGACACATCTAGAGGACTTGCTTCACTACGGCCAGATTCTGATAGCTCGGTGGTCTGCACAGTTGCGGATTCCCCGTCCTGTTCTACCACGGTATTTGGTTCAGCGATCGAATTCGGCACGTCCGATGACCTATTATTATAGGGCGAACAAGATAGGGCACCATCAGCAGTTTCCCCAGGATCACTCAGTTCGGGGGCTAATTGAAATTCCGCGTCCTCTGGTGCTCGGTTTGGTGCCAGAATATCGCTCATTTCGGATTTATCGGCCTCAAGCCAAACGGGGTCGGAGATCATCGGAGAAAAGACGGGTATTGATGGGGCACGGTTTTGAGAACTCAGCGCAGACAAGTCCGTATCATCCATGCTCTGATTTGGGTTCACGTTGCTGCACGAAGGACCAGGCTTGCAACGGGACTAGTCGAGGAACATGCGTTACAGAAAATTTGTGATATAGCACACTTACCTCGCCAGTGAAACAAGATAAGGGCAGCTGATTGGTCTGGAAGATGAAATTGGCTTCATCCGAGTTCGATCCCCCCAATGCCCCCACCAGATCAATCTTCTGAAGAGCCATGATGAAATCCTGTGGCGGTTCTCAAGGGCGTATGCAATTTTCAGACTTACCTGAGCCGATAGCGATTCTGCACGATCAACTGGAACAGCGGCTGAAGCTTCTTTTGCTGGGTACTTGACAAACAAACAGTCAAAAGATAATGTTTTTATTGAAGGAATGTGGGCAAGTAAAAAAAACAAATAATAAAAATAGCAAATGAAGAATAAGTGGGCAATGGAAAAATGGTCCAAAAATGTCCGACTGCGAGTAAAAGTGAACACCAATACGTGTTCAGCTGAATAATCTATGAAGAAAATACAGATTTAGTTTAAGGTCCGTTGGGAACTGCCAACGAACATGGTGGAAATGCGTCATAGAAAATCGATCCTGCTTCTTGGATGATGTATATTCTTTTCTTTTTTGCACTTAACTTTCTTTTTAGTGAACATACAAAGATACAATTTTCAGGAAGGCGGAAGCGGACGATCAAAAGGCTGCCATACAATACACAATGGGGAAAGTCAAGTGGTGGTGGCGGGATTCGAACACATCCTCGGGGTGATAATTTGGTGACGTTAACACCGAGCCAGCACCGCACATATAACGAATGGCTGAAGCCAGACTGTTTTCAACCCTGATCACTTATCTACCATTGTACAAAGCCTGAATTCATGCTGGAAATGATGCGGAATGTTTGTAGCTCGGGATGCGGACGTTGGTGTAGATGAATTCTTCGAGCTGGAAGTGTGGTTGTTTGCGAACAACACTTCCAGCTCGAAGAAATCACTAATACCAACACACTTATTTTATGTATTTTAATTAGTCCAGCGGGTGGTGTTTCCTTAAGCGACTCTGTCGTGCTAAAGAGACGGCTTTTATGGCCGACAGGCATAATAGTGTCAAATAGCTCTCTGTGTTGATTAGAGCTGAAGCAAGACACCTGAACGGAATGCATGTGGGTTGAGACTGTTTTGGGCAATAAACGCTGTCGTGAGATGTGGACTACTTTGCGGTACCTCTGTGATTCACACATCAGTTCTTGTCTCCACGTTGAGGCACTCAGCCGTCAATTTTCTTATGTACCTACCTCCAGCTCCCTCCCACCTCCTCACCCTACCCATGAGGCAATAAACCCTGTTTCTCCGGACAACGTTCTCCAAGTTTTGAGGAGACTCAAGGCCAACAAAGCTCAGGGTCCAGATGGATTAGCACCTCATTTGTTGAAAGCCTGCGCCAAGCGGCTTGCAACACCCACTTCTGAATTGTTCAGTACTTGTTTGTCATCAGGAACGGCCCGCGATTGTTGGAGGTCACTCCGGATCAGACCAATCCCAAAGAAAGGACCGTCAAAGTACCATCCAATTGCCTGCATATCTGTGTTACTGAAGGCTTCTGAAAATGTTTTGCTGCGCCACATGATACTCCACTGTAACCCCCATGGTCCTTTACAATTTGCTTATAAACCCCATCTGTTTACACTTGACGCCGTTGCTCATCTTCATTCTATTGCTTCCGTCTTTGACAATGGCGCCAGTACCACTCGTTTAAATTTTCTTGATTATAGTGAAGTCAAGCCAAGGAATCGCTTTATACACCTCGAAAGGTGGATATTCAGCAACCACATAACCACAGTGTCAACAAAAAATGAAAAAAAAATTATAATACAGCAATTAAAAAGACATGAAAACGGACAACATTAAAAAACTAATGCTATACTCGGATCTTTACGGTCTTGTGTTTATGCTTTTGATTCTCGCGATCAAACAGAGCTTACTGAACGTCTTTCTGAGTGTGGTCCAACTCCTGAAGTCTTGAATGTACTAATCGATTACTTCTCCCGCAGGACCCAGCTTACTTCACTGGATGGGGTACAGTCTTTTATTAACACTAAAGGTGGTGTTTTTCACGGTGATATTTTGACCCCTTTCTTTTTTTCTATGTATATACAAAATCTCTCCATTCCCAGCAACTTTATTGTTTGTAAGTATGCTGATGATTTTGTGACTGGTTGCCTATTCCTTATTTTAGATAGTTTCCGACCTCTCCAAGACAGTCTTAATGTACTTCGAGATTGATCTGTGACCCGATCCCTTGTACTTAACATCATTTAGTGTTTTGAAGTTCCATTCAGTCTTAAAACCGGTCCCCACTATCTTTCATTAGTTAATAATCTTTCCGATCTTAGCGTTAACAATCAAGGCATTCCCAAATCTGTATCTGTTAAATACCTTGGTGTCACCCTAACCCATAACCTGTCCTGGTCTGCTCAAATCATCAACGTTTTCACAAAGTTCGAAAACTATCTTTTTATGTTTACAGGCTGAGGAAACTAGCCATAGCACATACTCTTATTTTTAAATTTGTGCATTCTTCCACACTGGCTATATTGCTCCCCAATTTTTATTCCTGGATTAAAAGAAAGAAATTTACTTTATTTTTGAGATCCCTCAAACTTTTGTCCTGCTACAGTGGAGTTGATAGAGTTGTTTTAGTTAATTTATTTGTTCCCAAGTATTTTGACGCTTGTAATACATTTATAGACAGGATAAATGTGACTAAGAGCACTGTCTGCACCAAGATATCGCGAAAGCCCTGTCAAATCCCAGAACTCGCTACAAATATTAACTCCCTCCTGCGCGTACTTCCAGTGGAATTCCATGCCTTGCTCGGTTACTGGTTAATCATCAAAATATTCTCAGTCACCTCAGGGACAAACTATTGCACTAATATTTCTTTCATTTAATAAAGTGTAAAATTTCTTACGTTGTACTTTTTACGCAATTGATTTTATCTACCCGCTGTAAAATTCGTAAATTGCTGAAAATTTACACTCTGCATGCATATAGCTGTTCTTGACTGAATTGACTGACTGGCTTTCCACTGTCCCTTTCCTCAGAAAAGCAATGCTGTGGAGCACACTCCCTCTCCCTCTTTTCTATCTACAAGTTGAGGGTTTTCAGCGCAGAATCATAAAATTGTTCTCATCATGACTATCCACCCCCGCCGAAATTCACATCTGGTAGGAGGAAATCCCATTTTTCACCGACACAAATTGAAAAATTTAAAATCAGCAACAAACTGCCACTTACCAGTTCATGCAGAAGCACAAAAGCACCTAAATTTAGACGGTGAGGAACCATCACGGTCCATTCGGTTCGCCCAAATAGAATCGATTTCACAACTTTTTGATTCAGCCATTCCCCAGTCAACCATTGGATCACGCATTTTGCCGCACACTCTAATGTAATGGCAACGAAATAAACGTAGACGGTCAAATCAATCTGTAAATGTGGGGAAAACCCCATTTCTTCTGTCGAACGGAACGCTTCCACTTGGACTGAAAAATCTGTGATCCGGGAGAGAGAGAAAATGTATTATACGAGTGAGAGATGGAGCAGTATGAATGTGTTAGCTGTGTGAAAACATTGGCCAGCGAAATAGATTGTCAGCTCATTATCTTGAACTTCGTGCGTACGAAACCCACGAGCACCACTCGATTTTCTGCGGAACCACGTAACTGAATGCGGCAGCATCAAACATGTCCTTTATAAAGCACATCATTGTGCGATGAACAGTAACAGACGATGACGGTGTCGTGACAAAGGTCGATGTGACTGGTTTTTTACAAATAAAGCCACTGACCCCCTCACTTCCAAGGCTAAAGATTACTTCCGGCTGCCTTGCAGTTCGCACTTGGTTGTGCAAAGGTTAGAGGTGCGCCCCCAAAATAAAAAAGCCGAGTGACGCTGGGAACGTCTCTTGTACCAAACTCCCAAGGAACTTCATGATCATGTCTGGAGCTCCTTTCCAAAGAGCCAGCCGCAGTTAGTTAAAAAGTAAGTTTACTCATGGGAACCGGCAACCATAGCCCGAAAGTGGTCACCGACATAAGGCTCCAGTGCGACAGACGGAGCAGCGAGTTGGAAGACCGCATAGCAGTTTTTTATTCATTCCATGCGTGAAATAAACAGAAGCAAAACGATCGTTTGCCCTATTATATTTTAACCCTCAGAAATTAGTCCCTCTGTTTGCCAGGAACATTGAGATGACTAATTCACTTTCTTCAACGAGTACCTGTTCAGTGTGCCATGCGGGAAGTTTAATCAATTCTGATACAAAAACTGAAATACCACAGCTGAAGTAAATGTATCTGGTGCAAAGGCTTTGTCTTTCAGAAATAACTTATCTTTTTAGCCGATTCTTTCAAATAAAAGAATACTGAATCTCAGTGGAGGTCGAATAACAGATGGGGGTTAATTGAACAGTATTCAAAAACGCAGTTTACCATGCTAGGAGGCATAAATGAGGGAAAAATCAGTATCCCATTTAGTTTCTGAATCTCCACGCTGGTGGTGGTGGCGCAGTGGTTTAGTCGCTGTCACCGGTGTGCTTTGGACCCTATGGTCCGAGGTTCGAGCCCCTCCACCGCCACCCGACTTTGGTGGTAGGCAGCTCTGCTGTTGTCCGGTTCAATACCACGCCTAACCTATAGGGGCCCTATGTGGTTCGCCACTCCAAGTTCCGGGGCTTAGGTTGCCGATTTCAACCACTGAACAGCAGGTCCTCATGACTACAGGGTTTATCCCGTCTGCTGTTCATCACACCTAAGTGTGATAAAAAAACGCTTACATGGAGGAAAAACTCACAATCCGAAAGTGAACCATACATTACACCGATTGGGATGGCTTCAAAGCGTAGCTCGAGTCCGATGAGAATAACGAATGAGCAATCATGAGGTTCGAGAATACAGCTCTATAGCCAACGCAGAGTACAGTTCGACACCTTGACCTAATAAAAATGACAACGCCACTGCTGTCATCCTTGCGATACCCTTCAATGTCTCCAACCAACCGGTTGCGGAGTCTTTCGGACCCCACCTTGAAGGTGCGAGACAATTACTCTACCGAATGGCTCTGTGCATTTCTTTATGCCTCACCACGTGGTTTCCTCCATCCTGGTGCGGCTACAGCGAATAAGGCGCGATGTGGTAGACGGTAGCTAGGCCTACGCAATACGCGCCCTAGCCAGCGAAGTCCACTAATCTGGATTAGGTGTGCCAGGAGGTTTATACTTGCGAGATTCCCAAACACACGACGGCTTACCTCCAGAGTTATTTTATTTATTTATTTCAACATGTAACCATTTACAGAGAACTGTCAAATGTGCCACAACATATGAACAAGAAGAAATCTGAAGAGTGTGTTTGTAGGTTGTGGGCATGTTAGTTCCCATTCGCTCTATTCCACGTGGGCTAAACTACGTAAAAACCGATAATCGAAAACCTCTAGTAAATGGATATTTTCTACGTGCAAATTCAAGGCCTCATAACCATAAAGCAGAAACGAATGAACGCCAGCACAATATACACGACCTTTCAACTTCATTGAAACGCCGCGTCTGCGCCGAAGGTATTTCAGTTCTGCGTATGCTGCTCGAGCCTTGGAAATGCGAGAAGCAGTCTCCTTTGTTGCACTACCGCCATTGGTCACGTAATCACCTAAGTAGGAAAAGTAATCCACTATAATTAATTCCTAGCCATTTAGTTTCAGAGCAGAAGTAGGCGAAAGAGGGTATCCTTGACGGACGCCGCTGCTGCTGACGAACGGTGTACTTAGTTCGTTGTAAACCCTTACACGACTGGAGGTCTGTGAGTACAGTGACCTTAGTAGGTCAACGTACTTCTGGGGCATTCCTTTTCGAAGGGAACCCATCAGAGCTTTGTGGTCAACTGAGTCGAAGGCTCCTTTCAGGTCAAGGAACACTGCGATCGTTGGTCGACGGTGGGTGTGACGCAGCTCAAGGATCTGGCGCAACGTAAAAATTTGATCGATACATCCACTGCAAGACCGGAATCCGGCTTGCTGTTCACAGATTTTGATCTCTTAAAGGAATCGGACGCCGCATTATGATCGAGGCTAGTACTTTAGTGACGATCGGGATCAACCTTATCCCGCGGTGGTTTTTGTTGCGAGATCCTTTCTTGAAAATGGGAACGGTCAGTGATTCGCCCCAGGATGAAGGAATGCACTTTTGCGTCCAAAGATTGCGCAGTACGTTAGTAACGGAGCTTACGAGGTTATGAACCCCATCTTGAAGAGAGTGGAAAGGAGCTCATCCGGTCCTGCTGCCATCTTTGATTCAGAGATTGAACGTAAGACCGAACTTCAGCTTCTGTTGGAGAATTGCACGACACTACCTACAGAGCTTCGGTTACAGATGAAGTGACTTGAATGGCAGCAGGCCAGCTGAACTGTTTGCTGACGTATTCCGCTCAGCGATCAAGTCGTCAATCCCTATTGTGAATAGCTTGTTCCATTTTATCGCAGAATGTTTCACTAACTGGAGTTCACCGACCTCCTGTATTACGCATCA